GACAATATTTTCATTTGGTTTATATTTTAAAATTCATTATACTTATATTACATATATAATTAAAAAATAATTCTTACTATAATTTTGTTGATTTTAATAAAAACTTGATTGGTTGGAATTATAATTCATATTTTCTTTAGTTCAGTTAATAAATTCTTGTTCATATTGAACTTTTTTTTTATAGCTCCTCCTTGTGTAAGGCCTCATTTGTTCTATATTTGTCAAAGTAGCTTGCAAGTCCTGAAGGTTAGTATCAACTCTGGAAATAGTCATTCTTGCATAGTCTATCTGTAATATTTAATCTTGTTGATAATGGGATCTGATTGTATAGATACATAAAAAATAATTTAATACTCACTGCTTTCTTCTCAAAGTTTTCAACAATTTTCAAATATATTTTTGTTTTTTGTTAGAATCTGTTGATTGGCAAGAACAATCTTCGTTATAAATTTTCGTACAGACTAAATGCACCAAACATGCTGGACATACATTTAAGCGAAAACTTAATTTTGGATGTATTGACATTGTAGCATCGTATTTGCAAAAAATATATATCCTTTTCGATATATTACTAATAGGGTTGTTAAAACTTACCTGACAATATAATCTACATAGTAAATTACATATAAGTATTGTAATTACTTGAGTTATATATAGTAAGTTAAGTATAAATTATGGTAATTTATATATAAGTTAGCGATCCTAATTACTAATCATGTTCAAATCAAAAGTTTATCACTGCCGAATAAAAAACTTATCAATTTTTTACTAGCTGTCCCAAAATTAATGAAAACAAGTAAAATACTGATTAGAGAATAAAATACTGCAGTGATGCCTATTATATTAAATGTCTATTTTAATACACAGAAGTCAAAATCATATATATTTATTTACCGTCTTTAATAATATGTAGTAAAGTATTTACCTTCAGACTTTATATAGCTGAAATTATTTGATCAATTATAACAACAAAACAAATACCAAGCTAGGAATAAAATTTATCAAATTTAGATTGATTGGTTTCGTACTATTTTAGAAGCTAGAAAATACTGTAAATATTCGAATACTCGATTAGTTTAGAACAATGATAATAATATTCTGAATTAATTGAGTATTTGGACATTCATGGTATTTACAAAAAATTAGTTTACTATTTTCAACTATTCGAAAACAGTGATAAATATAAATAGTAAGAAATTCTTTTTTTTTTCTCTTTTGTTTTAAAAAAAGGCCAAGTTATTTCTGCAAGACATCATTAACCAACTACAAAACTTTTATTGACAAACCAGATCCACCAATTCTCTTGCTTAGAGAAAAATGGCCAAAACCAAAAAGCCTGCTGTCAACTTTTTTTCATCTCCCAAAAAAGCTGCCGTCAACTCTTTTTTACCACCCAAAAAAGCTGCCGTCAACTCTCTTTTACCTCCCAAAAAAGCTGCAATCAACTCTCCTTCACTTTCCAAAAAAGCTGTAGTCAACTCTTTTTCACCTCCCAAAAAAGCTGCAGTTAACTCTCTTTTACCTCTAAGTTCAGACAGGAAAATAATCAAAACTAAAAAAGCTACAAAAAAACATAAACCAACTCCAACATTTGTTGAATCCATCAATTCCCTTTTACCAAAACTAATACCAACTACTGTTGCACAAACCAGATCCATCTTGTATCTAAGCCTAAGTTCAGACGAAGAACATGATATTTCTTCTTGATCTGCAACTTCTATTGCACAAACCAAATCTGTTGACATTTCTTTTCAACTTGCCAGATATCAACCAACTTCATCAACTTCTTTTACACAAACTAGATCCATTAATTCTCTTTCACTTCTAAGCTCAGGCAGGGAGCATGATATTTACTCTAAGTTTTTTTTTTAAAAAAAAAATTACAGATAGTATGTATATTATTTTTTAGACTAAAACTATTTGTAATAATATTTTATTTTTAGAAAATCAGCAAAGTTGGAGGAATATCGACAAAATTCTTGCAGTTCAAAGACAGCAAGAACACTCTATTTCGACTATAGAAAATGCTTTAAATAATATATTAGCTTCATTAGAATCTTTAAATAGTAAAATTGACTTATTAAGTCAGGCTAGAAGTCAGAGAGGATTAGAAGTTGGTAAAACCTCAGCAGCTATGCAACAAAGACCACAATTTAAAAATAAAAGAAAATGAAAAAATGCACTTCGAGTATATTATTAATATTAATAATAATTATCAAAAATCTATAAATTAATCTAATCTATAATT